TGAATTTTTAACTATGGCTGCAATATCACATGGATCTATCCAATATCTTGCTGAATCTAAAAAATTACAATAAAATCCTAGTGTCTTTAATCGTGGGAAAAATACTTTTGCTAAAGGTCGCATTTTTTCCGCTAAATATATGCATTGTATAAATTGAATAATTTCCAAATTCACACAGGTAGCCAATGGTTCTAATGAATCACAGTGTGCGAAATTACAATATTCAAAATGAAGTGTTGTTAAACTATTTGCTTGTGTTTTAAGTGCTTCAAGTGTTTCAATTAAAATAATTTGAAGTCGTGTTTGATAATCCCATGAATATTTAAATGCCTTTAATCTTTTTTGTGCTCTTATAAAAATACTTAAAGCTTTAACTTCCATTTCTTGCTCAACTCCACCGACCCACATTGTTTCAAGAATTTCTGAAACTTGAGACATGGCTCGAAAAATATCTCTTTTACCTCCATGCTTACTTACACAATGAAATGCTTTAAGTCCAATTAAGCATGTATCAGCTTCAGTTCCAGTTAAAAGTGGTACCAATGGCATAGGCGCTTCGTGTGATAAATCTGATAATGAAAGAATTTCGAAAGTTGGGCACCTATTCATAAACAATTTAAATAATTGTTCTGCAATTAAAATTCTTAAAAAAGTTGATTGTTGCTCATCATTAATATTGTCATTAATATTATTATTAGATTCTGTTGCAAGCCAATCGGATACAGCATTATATAATTCCACAAATTTTAATTCACGAAGAAAAGACGGATAATCAAAAATTGCTGGATTTTTAGTTGTTAAAGGTGATAATATTACTCCATTGCTAATGAGATATGCTTTTGATTTTTCACAAAGACAAGTAATGTAAGTTTGTATAATTTTCGCTGTCTCAAGTGACGGTCCGTTTGCTGTTCGAAAAGGAGATCTCCATAATAAAGGAACAACTACTTTACACCAACTTCTATTAACCAGAAGAGAAGAATAAAGAGAACCTTTATCAAGATATTCAAAGACTTCACGAAGACATTCTGGTGGTAAAGAGGTAGCAGCAGTTTTATAACCTAATAAATGACGTTCAAAATCAACAGGTTTTTGTTTCGTGGACGAAAATGTTGCACCCATTTTTTTTTCTTATATTAAAGGATGCTAAAATGTCGAGAATTCAAATTTCATATAAGTATGCAGGCCATGCAAGAACTAGCCAATCAAATATCATTTTTGGTGGTCCAATCATTTCAAATCCAATTTATCTGACTACAAATATATTTTAAATAAGGAAAGTTTTATATTACCGGTAAATTATTTTTTATCTTACAATTATTACATAATTTGAGATCCGAAATCGAAAATAATATAAAATAAACTCAAACCAAACAAACGTCTTAATGTACCTAAGTACGTGCGTACGTGCCAGTACGTACGTACGTACGTACCAGTCGGCCGACATGTCGTTTACAATTGCAGGCTTATTGATCAAATTAATTGACGTACTTAAATTTTATAA